AACGGATTCGAAGCCGAGCCCCTGCTGTCCACTGTGCTGTCAGTGCTGACCAGCTTCCTGGCCCTCTCTGCTGTCTCCTTGGCCATTGACAGGAAGTGCCCGTCTTGTTCTTTTCTTGCTGTCCCCAGGATTTAAAGAGTGGGTAACACTGGATGTGTTTCTGATACCCATTTTTTTCTGTTTGTTATGTTGGTTAGAGTGTTGGCATTCAGAGCTGTGGAAGATGTGAGGTATATTCCCTGTAGCCAATTGTCTGCATTCATGTTTTATCAGTGAAACCAATTAAAACCATGTTCTTCCTGGGCAGTTGTAGAAACCACACCACCACCATCACCAAGACATTTCAGTATTGTCACGAATGGCATGTGTTGACATAGATGGTGTGTGTTGGCATGGATGGCATGTATTGTCATGGATGGCATGTGTTGGCATGGATGGTGTGTGTTGGTATGGATGGCGTGTGTTGGCACAAATGGCGGGTGTTGGCATAGATGCTGTCTGTTGGTATGGATGACGTGTGTTGTCCCGGATGGCCTGTGTCAGCATGGATGGTGTATGCTGGTATGGATGGCATGTGTTGGCATGGATGGCCTAGATGGTGTTTATTGGGATGGATGGTGTGTATTGATATGGATGACGTGTGTTGGCATGGATGGTGTGTGTTGTCACGGATGGCATGTATTTACATGGATGGCATGTGCTGGCACAGGTGGTATGTGCTATAACAGTTGGTGTGTGTTGTCATGGATGGCATGTGTTAGCATGGATGGCATATCTTGCTATGGATGATGTATGTTGGCGTATGTTGGCACAGATGGCGTGTTGGTAGGGATGATGTGTGTTGTCCTGGATGGAGTGTGTTGTGACAGATGGTGTGTGTTGGCAGCAATGTCATGTATTGTCATAGATATCATATGTCATCATGGATGGTATATGTTGACATGTGTGGCATGTGTTATCATGGATAGCATGTGTTGCATGGATGGTGTGGGTTGGCAGGAATGAGTGGCATGTGTTGGCATGGTTGGGTGGTTTCTGTTGGCACAGATGGCACATGGTGACATTGATGCTGTGTGTTGGCATGAATGGATGGCACATGTTGGCATGGACAGTGTGTGTTGGCATGGATGGCACATGTCTGCCAGGTACACGACTTGTAACCGCATCATGTGGTTGTGTCCTTTTTACTCTTGTCATGTTGATGAGTTCCTGTCCTGGGAGGGTGAGTCCTAAGCTGGCTCCCTTCTGCCGAGAGCTGTGGTGCTCACTGTCCCGTCCTCCGCCCACTGCTTTTCAGATCGCGGCACCATCAAGAAGGTGCGGGCGCCCCTGGGTCCGGCCATGGGCAGCTGCCTGCTGGAGGAGATGGAGCTGGTCCCCGAGCGGCGCCCAGAGCCCGTGCGCAACCTGCAGATCCTGCACAGCCAGAGCGTCCTGTTCGTGGGCCTGCACGAGCATGTGGCCAAGGTCCCACTGAGGAAGTGCCACTTCCACCTGACACGCAGGTAGGCAGCCGAGGGTGGGTGAGGACACCCATTGTGGACCTCCGCTCTGGAGTCCCACAGCCTCCTACAGTGATCAGGCCCCCTTGGCACCAAGTCAGTGCCGACTCACGACAGCCTCTGTGTTGGAACAGAACTGTGCTCTGCAGGGATTCCAGTCATTGATTTGTCAGCAGCAGGTCACTGCTGGGTGGACTCGAACCTCCAGCCTTTCTGTGGCAGCCAGTCACCTTCACCGGGGCTCTGTCATAGCCCACTGGTCAGCAGGGTGGGGGCCGTGCCTCCTGTTGGGCACCAGTTCTCCTTGGTCCATAAGTATTGGAGCACGGCAGCCCCCAGCAATGATGCTGACACGCAGCAGTCTTTGGCAACTATGCTGTCACCTCGGCGACCGTGCTGATGTGTGGCCGTCATTGGTGATCATGCCAGTGCCTCAGTGACCGTGCTGATGTGTGGCCGTCATTGGTAATCATGCCAGTGCCTCAGTGACCGTGCTGATGCGTGGCCGTCATTGGTGATCATGCCAGTGCCTCAGTGACCGTGCTGATGCGCGGCAGTCATCAGCAACCATGCCGACGCCTTGGTGATCATGGTGACTCACAGTGGCCAGCGGCGACTATACCAGCGCTTCGGCAAGCACGCTGAGACACGGCAGCCATCAGCAACCATGCCGACACCTTGGCAACCATGCTGATACGTGGCAGCCATCGGTAGCCATGTCGACACCTCAATGATCGTGGTGATATGCAGTGGCCATTGGTGACTGTGGCAGTGCCTCAGAACCATGCCAACGCCTTGGCGACCGTGCTGACGCGTGGCAGCCATCAGTGGCCATGTTGATGCCTCAGTGATCATGGTGACGCACAGTGGCCGTTGGCGACCATGCTGATGCCTCGGCGACCATGCTGACATGCAGTGGCCTTGGTGACCATGCTGACACCCCAGCTAACAGGCTGACATGCAGCAGCCCTCAGCAACCATGCTGATGTCTGGCACCCACCGACAACCATTTTGACACATGGCAGCCACTGGTGACCATGCGGATGCCTCAGTGATCATGGTGACGCACAGTGGCCATTGGTGACTATGCCTACACCTCAGTGACCATACCCACACCTCAGTGACCATGCTGGCGTTTCAGCAAACACGCTGACGTGCAGCGGCCATTGGCGACCATGCCAGTGCCTCGGCAACCTTGCTGACAGGTAACAACCATCAGTGACCATGCTGAGTCCTCAGTGATCCTAGTGACACGCAGTGGCATTGGCGACTATGCCGACGCCTCAGTGACCACGCCAATGTGCAGTGGCCGTTGGTGACCATGCTGACACTTCGGCACACGTGCTGACGTGTAGCAGCCAGTGGCAGCCATGCTGATGCCTCAGCAACCATGCTGACATGTGGCAGCCATCAGTGACCATGCTGACACCTTGGTGACCGTGCTGATGTGCAGCAGTCATCAGTGACCATGCTGATGCACGGTGACCCTCAGTGACAATGCCAATGCCTCATTGACCATGCCAGTGTGTGATGGCCATCAGCGGCCATGCTGACACTTCGACATCTTGCTGATGCTTGGTGCTCCTGCATTTACCTGGTGAACAGTAAATGATGAGAAGTGTGTGCATCCGCCTAGCATGTTGCTGCAAACCGTGTACAGGGTGAGCCCCAAGGTTGATTCTTACACCAGCTCCCTTGGCACACCCCCTGTCCTGAGGCCCCAGGGTCACGTGGCTGTGCTTCACGGGGCCCCTCACCCACATTAGGCAAGTCTTCTCACCTGCAGTGGGGTCACTGTGTTCCTGGAGCCTCGTGGTGTCTGAGGTTTAACCTGAAAAATGTAGGCCCAGGTGCACAGGACATCACATACTCAGGGGCACCTGTGTGGTGGAATGTTGCCTGGATGCTCCGCCAGGGAAAGTCAGCCCTAAGACTCACGAATCCAGACACTGTCAGCTGTCTGTGTGTCAGCCGTCCCTGTGTCAGCTGTCTGTGTGTCAGCCGTCTGTATATCAGCCCTCCATGTGTCAGCCATCATTGTGTCAGTGTATCATCCATCTGTGTGTCAGCCATCTGTGTCAGTGTGTCAGCCGTCCATGTGTCAGCCTTAAGTGTGTCAGCCATCAGTGTGGCAGTGTGTCAGCCGTCCCTGTGTCAGCTGTCCATGTGTCAGCCATCATTGTGTCAGCGTATCATCCATCTGTGTGTCAGCCATCAGTGTGTCAGTGTGTCAGCCGACCAAATGTCAGCCATCAATGTGTCAGCCGTCCATGTATCAGCCTTCAGTGTCAGCCATCAATGTGTCCGTGTGTCAGTCATCTGTGTGTCAGACATCCATGTGTCAGCCATCCATGTGTCAGCCGCCAGTGTGCCACTTGGTCCCGCTCCCCAGGCTGAGGGTCGCTGCTGACCTCTGGCCACACACCTCCCTTCCTCCAGACACTGCCCAGGGGCACTACCTGCCGACATTCACCTTACCCTTTGCACTTCACGTTTCTGTAACCCTGGTTCCTAACGTGGGAACTCACGGTCTCATGTAACACATGTGAATTGCTATCAGCATCCAGTGGGACAATGTGTACAGGCACACTTCAGAGATGTTGTGGGTTGGTCCAGACCACCACAATGAAGTGGAGATCACTTGTCTGTGTTTCTAGTGGGTACAAAAGTACATTCACACCCTCCTGTCCTCTGGTGAGTGTGTAGCAGCCTCATGAAAAAGTCTGAAATGTTGTGACAATTACCAAGTATGACAGAGACAGGAAGCAACTACTTGCTGTATGAAAAATGGCGCCGGTAGACTTGCTGAACACGAGGTTGCTACCGATCTTGAATGTGTGAAAAACACTATCTGCGAAGTGCAGTCAGATGACATGCCGTGGAATGGGGTCTGCCTGTGAAGTGTGAGACTTGAAGTCCCTGCAGAACCAGGCATTCCCACGTGAAGACGCACTTGCACATGGAATCATTAGAAAGCCGGTGTTGTCGAGTTGAGTCTGACGGCTGGCACCCCGTGTGTCAGCGCAGACTTGGCTCCGTGGACTCCTCAACAGCTGGTTTCTCAGAAGCAGTTCAGCAGGCCTTTCTTCCGAGGCTCGTCTGGGTGGACTCGAACCTTCCCCCTTGCGCTTACCGGCCAAGCACGCTAACCACTCCTGTGCCTAGGGACACTTCCTTCCTAGGTGATTCTGGGTGTTGATTCCTGTAGTATCACAGGAGGTTGGGAGTGGCTCCGAGCCCTCCCGGGCCGCTTGGCTGCAGACTGTCGGGCCTGCGCCGGGAGGACCAGTGGCCCGTGGACGGCCTTCTTAAACAGGGCACCCCCTGCCCCGTGGCCGGGGGGTTGGCGTCCAGTCAGATCTCTGTTCTCTTCAGGACTGTCTGGGAGCAGGATCCGTCACCTTGTTGCAGATGGTGTGGGTCACGGTGGGCTGGAGCCTTGCCTGCAGGTTCCTCACAGTGTGGAAGCAGCTGGACAGGCCCAGTCCTCAGGCTCAGCCAGGATCCTGGCAGCTCCAAGTTCTAGCCATAGTTTTTTGGGGGCATGGCACAGCGTGACATAAAGGGAGACACAGACATGTGCCGCGGGTGTGTTCCGGGGGCTGCAGTGGGAGGGGACACAGACACGTGTCGTGGGTGGGTGTGTTCCAGGGGCTGGAGCGGGAGACCGCTGCTCACAGAAATGAGAAACCTGACCTGTCATCATCCCTTTGCTTCAGGGAGTCTGGGTTTAGGTCGCTTTCTCTATGTGCAGCTTCAGACTGGAGCCCGATGTCAGATCAGCATAAACAGGGGTCTTGGTCTTCTAGGGCTCCAGTAATAAAACACACAGTAGGTGGCTTTAAAGAACTGAAATTCATGATCTCACAGTCTTGAGGCTGGGGGTCTGAGAGCAAGGTGTTGGCCTTGTTGATTCCTTCTGCGGCTCTGAGGGAAGGCCTGCTTCCTGCGTCTCTCCAGCTTTAAAGAACTGAAATTCATTGTCTCACAGTCTGGAGGCCGGCAGCCTAAGCCCAGGGCATTGGCCTTGTCGATTCCTCCCGTGGCTCTGAGGGAGAGTCTGCTCCCTGCCTGTCTCCCAGTTTGGGGTGACTCCTGGCAATCCCTACTTTTCCTGGTTCACAACTGTGTCTGCCTCGGACACCACATGGCCAGCCTTCTTCTCTGGGTGTCCCCCTGGATCTCCTTTTTAAAACACCCCTCATCTTGGATCAAACCCTCCCTGCTGCAGTATGACCTCTTGTTAACTGATTACGTCTTCAGAGACCCTATTCCAAACGAGGTCACCTTCACAGGTTCTGGGGTCAGGACTTCAGCCACGTTTTGGGGACAGAGTTCAGTCTCTAGCAGGCAGTGTCTTGTCGGCTCCCATCTCGCGGTGCTGCCTGTTAAGGCCGACAGCCGGTCTGCAGGGGTTGCCAGCACCAGTGTCAAGGTGGAGGGGCCAACGAGGCCCTGTTACCAGTCAAGGACAAGCCCCTTGTGTGTCTGAAGCAGACGGGAATGGTGCACTGTGTCCAGAGCTGAACCCCTGCTGTGTGCTTGTCCTTGTGCTCAGAACAAGCAGCTGTAGCTTCATTAAGAGTCACGTCCGTCCTCTGTGCGGCCACACACACAGTGAGCTCCTTTGGGTCTGACCCTAACTATTATCTGAGCAGAGGAAGTCTTCAACCCGAGAGCGTCCCTGCACGCTTCCCAAGGGCTTCTTCATTTCTCCTTAGAGAGACAGGAAGCCTCCCTCCTCGACACTAGCTACAGAAAAGGGTGGACTCCCTGTGGTACAAACGGTGCGCGCTTGGCTGTTATCCAGAAGGTTGGAGGGTCGAGACCACTCAGAGGTGCCTCAGAAGGAATGCCTGGCACTCTGCTTCTGAAAAGCAGCCATTGACAACAGTCACACCCACAGTGGCATCGTGGGTCGGAGTCGACTTGAGGACAGCTGCTTGGAGAAAAGAAACCTTTCTAAGAAAACTTAATGCCCACATGTCCAGATTGTTGTAGGA